ACAGCCACCCTGGCAATGTGGATGTTATTTGCAGTACCAAGAGTACAGTTTTATTACTTTTAATTTATGGACAGAGTTCCTTATAGAGCTGCAATATTGCAGAATACATCACATAAAAACACTAATTTGAACCATTTTATCAACTTTATTTTGTTAGGATTATTCCATTGTCCTTCATAAAGTAATAATCGCAAGGTGAATCAAAAATGGTAAAAAAAAATCTTGTGTTTTAAAATCAACTCTGCTGAGTTAAACATGTTGAACCAGCTTTCAATGCCTCTATAGCTCTGAGTCTTAAGGGGAATGTCTCTGGGCTTTGAACAGTGAGACAATAGGCCAATCTGAGGAGGTTTTTTGATGAAAATTGACTGGCACAGTTTTGCAACATATTTTTAAGTTTAGGCTTTGATTTGAAGAGGCCGTTCTACACATACATTTGTTTTATTTTACCATTTAATTGTTGTTATAGTTGTTTATGGTTACCCTGTTGAAAGTTAGACCAGCATTACCCTGTATTAAGCTCATCCAGTTTACCATCAAAACTAAATGGGTTATTTGTTACCACAGGAGGAAAGCACCATGTGTGACTATAAGGGAGTTGTCTTGAATTTCTAGAATTGCACTGCTTAATATGGTTACATATTGAAATAGCCCAGCTAGCTGGATTCTAGTTACTCCATTTTTGCATAAGTTTCTTTTTTTTTTTTTCATTATTTTTTTGTCTGCTCTGTCGAATGGTGCACAACTGGAAGTATTTATCTCTTTCTTTTTCCTTTTCAGAATTCTGTTATGATGTGTAACCATAGCAACAATAGCCAGCATCTTTTTTTTTTTTACAGCTGGGAAAAGCTCATTAACATTTCTAAAGCTGAAATAAAACTAACTACCTTCGCAAGTACCAGCTGAACATTAAAAAAAAGCCCAGAGGATGTAGAGCAAGAACAAGGAAAAGAGGGAGGAGCAGGAAATTCAAGTGATCTCCTCCATCAATCATTATGAGCAATGTGAGATCTTTAGGAAACAAGTTAGAAGAAATTCAAGCCCTATCAATGACCCAGCCAGAATATTAACAATTCAGAATTTGGTGTTTTACTAAAACATTACTCCAGGATCAGTGACTCCACCGACTCTACCAGGATTTCTGACCACACAAGCAGACAGAGATTAAAAGATGACTGGAAAATTAAGGGAGGTGGGTTGGCAGTGCTTGTTAACACATCCAGCCCACGTCACAATAAAGATTCATCTCAGCAGCCCTTATATTGAACTACTGGCAGCTGGTTATCCATAGTATCAGTCCATATTACTTGTCATAGTTTACAGCTGTAGTTGGACCTGGGACAATATGTATGCAGAAAGATGCTGCATATCTTCTAGAAGTTTGAACTCTTCTGCTGAAAGAAGCTCAAAGAGCTGATAAAGAAGGACCTTTTTTAGGACCTTTGGAGATGATTTCACAAAGAAGTGTTATTTATAAAACAAATAACATTACGGACAACTGTGAGTATCCTCTTCATCAGACTGGACAACATCAAGACTTCTCCATATCTGTTGCAAGAAAGCCTGGTACAAAAGATTCTTTCTGACAACAGATGTCAATGTATACAAATTGTTGAAAAAAGCAGGTGAGTTACTACAACATTTAATTTTCGTTTGGGCTTGATGCAATTGAAATTAATGACTGAACCGAACAGATTAGATGAGCATGTGCATCTTTGTTTTGCAACACATGGCAATTTTCTTGCAGGGTGAAAAACAAAACAGAACACCTTCTGTGCCAGTAGGTTTTATTTTTTTTAAGTAAAGATGGCCAAATACAACCTCATGTCATGTTTTGAAAAAATATTTTCTTTGCTTTTAACAGATATACTCTACCTTATGTCTATCTGTCACATAAAACCACAATACCATACATTTAGGTTTATAATTAGAGTCGGACAAAAATAAATAAATATTAAGGGATTTCAATAACTTAGCGATTCTGGTGAGAATAAGCAAGAAATGTGTTGTCCAAAAGAGTCTTCTTATTTTAGTCTAAACAAGCGAAAGCAAAACCTGTAGACGTGCAGTCCTTAAGATAAATTAAGCAACAAAGATTCCTTTGGCAGTCCATCCTGTCCGTCCAGTTAAAGGCAGTTAAAAACAACAAGCACAAAAATGTCAAAACCCGGCAGATCACATATTTTACAATACATACATGTTTAGCACAGACTGGCATACATGGTTTAGAGCAGAGGTCTTCAAAGTTTTCCAGGCCAAGGACCCCAAAACTGATGGTGAGATAGGACCCCCTAATTATATATATGGTATGAAATAGTGTTATATCAAACTGGTCCTATAGTCACTCTATTACATATAGAGTAATGTAACGAAAGTAATTTCACCCTGGGATTATTCAAGTATTTCTGATTCTGATTCCTGGTTGATGGGACAGGTGTGAATGAAACGGTGCCCAGCTTGAAAGAGCTCCAGTGTGTCGCTGAATGTGTGCATTGATGACTGAAAGACATCGTCTGCCTCCATTTATCTGTTTACTACAGTCTGTTAATGTGTATTTAAAGACATTGTTGGAATATAAAAACAAAAGTCTAATAAACCAAACTTTTGCGACACCCATGCAGTACTCCGGTGAGGTCCGCGGGGGTACTGCATAACCCTAACCCGTGTTGAAGAAATCCGGTTTAAAGTATCATCCATTCATTCATCCATTTTCCATTGAGCTTTATCACTGCTGGTGTCACGAGGGGTGCTGGTGCTTATCTCCAGCTGTCAATGGGCAAGAGGCGGGGTCACCCTGGACAGGTCACCAGTCCACTGCAGGGCAACACAGAGACAAACAGAACAAACAATCATTCACCCACACACTCACACCTAAGGAGAATTTAGATATGCCAATTAACCAAACAGTCGTGGTTTTGGACTGTGGGAGGAAAACCGGAGTAACCAGAGAGAACCCACAGATGCACAGGGAGAACATGCAAACTCCATGCAGAAAGAAATCAGTACCTTATTGCTGCAAGGCAGCGGTGGTACCCACTATATCACTGTGCAGCCCCCATTTAAAGTAACATCTCTTTTAGAAATAAAATTAAAATCGAGCAGGTTGAAATAGAAAACGAAGATATTTTTTCTCCTCTACAAATGAAGCAGCGTCAGTAATCAGAAGTAAGAGGTGATTACATGTGAGAGGAATGTATGCTCTAATCTTTCACCCCGCCACATTTAACCAGAATAACTAGGCTATAGAGGAGTTATTTGATTTTACCTTTCTAACATTTGTTTTTACAGAAGTATATTTGGCATGAAAATATGTGCTGAGAATTTGTTGTAATTGAAAGTTCCGAGCAACTAATTTAATGATTAGATATTGTAATTAGTTTGATTTGGTTTTAAACATGTGAAGAAAAAACACTGCAGATGTATATATAGATGTTAATATAAATGATAATAAAATGTTTTTGCTAACCTAGTAAAGGTAACTCATATGTTGTACATCTGGAATTGAAAGCTGATATAATAAAGTGCAAAAAGTAAAGTCATAATTAACAAAACATGGAAGCTTGAAAAAATGTTTCTATGTCAATAATCCTTATCTTGTGTTTACCATACAGTAGCTGAATTTCGGAAATAAACTACTACTACATGTATTTGAACTACTTTCTGTAGTCTTAATGAAAGTCAAAAACAGAATTTTTACTTGGCATAATATTTTTTTGCTCGATTCGGCAATCTAGATAAAATATTGAGACATATTTTATATTTTTGATGCATAAATCTCTCCTTTATTTTTTCCAATCCACTGTATAGATCTGGATGCACCGTCTATACTTGATGCACCTTTTTCCTCCTTTGTGTTCCTTCTGTTTGTCTATAAGAGCCGACGTCACAAGTGAATTGTCTCCATTAAATTTCTACATTGTATTCAATTCTATTCATTGATTTGATTGAAATTGTCATTTAAATAAATAATTATTTATCTAAAAATGATTTCAGTTTTGAGACTGCAAGAGATAGGCACCGCCTCCACTGCAACTGCAACTTTACAGATAAAGTTTACTTACTTACATAGGGTAACCACCTGATGACGGTCCACACAGGAACATGCAAACTGAATGCAGCATTAACCTAGACAAGGATTCAACACACTTCTGCTAACTTGGCTTAGAGCCTTAATGGACTATATTAGCTCTGCTATATGTTATTCATTATAATACGAAATAAGTATTTAAAAGCAATTTAAGAATTTAGGGCATTATGTATTGATATTCTATTTAGATTATTTGAAATGTATATAATTGTTATAGATAATTGTTGCCTTCTGTGTAAAGCCTGTAGAGGCCAATGTAGGGATTTTATTTTAAGAAAAAAATATTTGAATTCTGCTCTGTTTATTTCACTGATCTTATTTTGGTCAGTGAGGACAAATTTATAAACATGAATAATTTAGGTGATAAGTTACTTTAGTTCATAAGAAAATATAGGATAATAAACAGATTAAAAAAATGTTTGTGGTTATTTGAGTAGTCGCTCCAAGCTAAATGCTTTATCTTGATTTTCTCGTATCTGTCATTCCAAGTTAAAGGTAAAAAGTGAGTAAAATTATCCTTTTGGCTGTTTGCCTGCCATAAGTTAAGGTTAACCTTCTGACCTCAGAAATAACCATCTATTGTTCACCCATGACTTAGCAGAGGAAATCCCTCTGCATTCCACAGAAAGTCATCTTAAAAGCGGCTCACAAGTTTAACTTCTTGCAGAGAGCATTCTTAAAGAGAGGAGTTTATCAACTTTGAGCGCGCTTTTAGCGCACCTTTACCCTGCCAGGAATAGATACGCCAATTTCAGGCTAAAGTTGCAAAAGTGTGAATTTCTAAATTAGTAGAACCAGGCTGTGTTGGTTTCATTTATTCTGAAGTCGTATCAGCTTCTTTTCCAAAAGTGTTGAAACCTTACCTCGGAGCGGCTCCTCAGGCGCGCAGTGGGTGGGATGGATAGGAGGAGGTGGGGGTGCGCACACAGGAGGCGGACCTATGCTGCGACCCCCACAGCTTTGCTTCAACATGGTTTTACTATACCGACCATTTCCCAAAGCACACTTTCTAGCCGCCGCGCAGGAGACAGAATAAACGCCTGTGCGTAAAAACTGCCCCTCACCAGGAAAACATTAAAGATAAAAGAAACGGAAACAGCTCCTTATAATATCCTGGAACATCATTTGGAATTGGGCAGGAATCTTCTAAGAACAGCATTTGGTAAGCTTCAATAAATCTGATTTAAAAACGTCTTACTAAATGAAAAGAGACTTGATTCAAATGTTTATGAGTAGCCGCTTATACTTTATATTTAAGGCTTGTTGAGTATGTTTTAAACAGAGCAGGAACATGCGTTTCTCTCAGCTGTGAGAGACGGTAATAATCTAAGTAGAAAAAAGGTGAAAAATGGACTGCTGAAATGACAGCAGGATCATTTTCTCTTGATTTTTTTTCTCTCTTGGAGGTGATCTATAGGAACACATTTGGCCCGTGCGCCAAGCTGATATGTCAGGACCATGTGGCGCTTCAAGTGACAAACTGCTGGTGTCCATCTTTTGTTCGCTTTGGACATTCATTCTTCCTGAGGCTTCTTAGTCAAAAACCTTCTGAAATGTGTTTATTTTAAGCAGCAGGAGCGCTTAAATAGGAAATGTAAACGTATGTGTCCAGTGTGTTAATGTGTATCTTCCAGTTTGGGTTTTGTAGAACCAGATTTCTGTTCAACTTCGACATGTTGTGACGTCACTTTCTAGGATGAGACGTTTTCCAGCTTTACGCATTTTTAAAATCTTCTTTGCTCCATTATTCAGAATGACAGGACTACTATCCTAGATAATGAGTGAGATATGATTCATGTTTTCTATTCAGGAGCAAAACAAACACGATTATAAACCGCTGAGTCAATTTAAAGCTCCTCTCTTTTGTTATTGTTGACTAAACATAGCCATGTGGAGGAAGAGGCAGAAAGGGAAAGAGCGCCCTGTGTGGGAGGTTCATGGTTCACGTTTTCACTTATAGCTCCCATTTCTTTCTGTTCATGTGCTTTTATTGTGTGTCTGATATAATGAAGCCATGGTGCTCAGACTGAGGTGTAATTCCCATTGGTGGTAGATGCCAGATCCTTCGCTTCTCAAAAGAAACTTTGCCGCACAAAAAAATGGCATTGCAAATTGGAATGTGTTAACTGTGATTTAGAGTACACTGCACTGCAAAGTGTACACCTTTTGGACGTTTATACATTTCGTCATATTACATTTAGAAGCGTTATTGTATTTTAGTTGTTTTTTAAATAACATACCGGCACCCATAAAGTAGTATTTATTTTTTTTTAGGTCCAAGGAAAACAAATTAAGGTGCTGCACCTTTATTTACCTTGACTCCACCATCACCAACAATGCTGACCTTAAGCTGCAGGCAAAGTCTAGCAGCTGCAACTATCTGGTCTCTCTGGAAGTCTCTCTGGAACACTCACTCCTTCCACAAGGCAAAGCTGTTTATATTTAAAGTGGTGATACTCTCTGTTAACATTTACTGACCTGCATTTTGGCCATGGAAAAGACAGAGTCAATGATTTTGCCAGCAGGGCTTCCAGAACTCTAAATGCACCTACTAAACTTAAGCATCTTGGCTCTTTGTCACATCATTGGCCAACCAAGCAGTAGAGTGTTAAACATTTTAAAAGAGGAAATGCAACAGCTGGTATTTAACACGAAGGACACAGAGGACTTGGCTTACAACTGGCATGGCTGGTGATCTCTGGGGTAGCTGATAAGTTATTTAATAACAAGCAATAGCCATCTTAAAGGTATTGTGGAGGATTTTTGCACATGCACAACCCTGTACCCGTCGCTGAGAGGGAACGCATATTAAATGCATGCGAGAGCATGCACGAGCCCATTTCTCCTTGTGCACGCTATTAAAAGTTGCTGTTCTCATAGCTCATACAAGCTTATTGTGTGAACTTCCGCCCTACCCCTAAATCGTTCAATCATTAAATAGGGACTATATGGTGGACTTTATAGCAAACTCAGTTAACTGACCGTTCGGACAGATGATCACTGCTCTTTGCTTCCCATTGGTCACATAACTCCTCCTCCACTGTGGTGCCTGCGCCATCTTTGTTATTAGTCGCCTCTGTCAGGTAAGCAACAGCCTATGGTAACAGAGTGCCGCTGTGACAGTAAATCCCATAGTGCTTTGCGAGGAGAGCTCTCCATGCAAAGCATTTCAGGATATATCTGCCTCTTCTGAGGCCTTTCTTTTCAGCTGTTTCTCAGTATGTGTACTTTTGCATTCTCATGTGCTCTTGTACTCGAAAAAACGTCATCAGCCTCAGCCCTACTGTTCCAATTCACAAGGACAAGAAAACCGAGAACGGACAAACTCCCCGGATGTTGTTCTCGCCCCTCCCTCTTTACCCAGCATGCATCAGAGCAGACTTGTACGTTCTCGAGATTGACAGCTGTCCCAGCATGCACCATGGCGGCAGGTTCCATTGGAGCGCTTACAGAGCTCAGACTATTAAGTTAGACATTCTCTTTTGTGTTGCGATTATTCTATAAAAGGACATTTTAAGATCACTTAAGGCAAGAACGTTATATATATGGCCTATTTACTGATTTAGTGCACAATAAAAAAAAAGTTCTGATGTTGAGAGGACCAAGTCAACCAGCGGACCTGGTTAACCGCAGCCAGGGCTAACATGAGCCCGTCTGCAGCAGCCCTCTCTCTGCATAGCCGTGTGTGAAGGACAGCTGGCTCTGATTGTGATTTTTTGTTTTTTTTTGGCAAAACCTTAATTTGTTTGTGTTTATCTGACTGTGTTATTTATTATTCCCCCACTAAATGAAAAACGTAAGAATTGATTAATATTTGTGACTATTGATAATAGGAGGGGAAATGCAGCTCCAGACGAGCTGAGCGTGTGGTGACGTCACGAGTACGCTTATGTTTCAATTAGGGCTGCAACAACGAATCGATAAAATCGATAAAAATCGACTTTTAAAAGCGTTGGCAACGAATTTAATCATCGATTAGTTGTGTCGCGCGATTAATGCGTCATCCGCCGCCGCCGTCATCCGGTGGAAGAAAAAAAAAAATATGGCGGAGCGAGTCAGCGCCGCAGTTGCACAGTGTTGCCAACTCAGCGACTTTTCAGACCCCTCCAGCGACTATTTTTCAAAAAAGCGACTAGCGACAAATCTGGCGACTTTTTACGGTGCCACTGGCGGCTTTTGCCTGCCGTGGGGCGCCTCCCCCATCCCAACCCATTTCTCCCTCTCCCACAGGAATCCCTCTCAGCGCGGCAGTCAGAGCCGCAGGATTTTAGTGAGGAGTTTACCCTCAGCGTCCAGACTGCAAATGAAGCGCGCATGCGCCGGGATTGACGGGTCAAATTGATCACAATAATTAAAATAGCCTGCGCTTTGTAAAGTGAAAAAAGTCGTAACATGCAACTTTTGTAAAAACAAATGAACATGGCACGGAAGCACCACTGTTATGACGCAGCACCTGAAAAGAAAACACGTTGGAGCCTTCAATGGCAGTGAAGAGAGCTGATCAGCAGGATGAGTAACCATGTTTGTTTCGTTTTAAAGAGGGGAAACGTAACGTTAGTTTCTCAGGTAGCTCATCTGATGCTTTCCTTACCTTGTTAGTAGGTTACAGACAGGGATAAGGTTGGCTACTTATTTTACTTTTAATTTCATTTAAATTTGTTTAAGCAGCGTTTATATTTTCTTTATAAATAAATTAACTTGCAAATGGATAAATCTTCTGGCAAAGATAAAGTAAAGAAGATCCTGCAATTTATGGAAGTAAAGCAGAACAAAATCCAGCAAGATCAGTAATATGTCAATTAATTATCTGCCACATTCCCATGTAAATATCTGTCTTTGGAGGATGTGTTTTTTACCACCCCTAGTTCTCTCATTTTTATTCCAAATACAATTTATAATTTGAATCACAGGGCTATTTTTATCTCTATGGTTAAGTATTTTCTCAAGCAGCAACTTTAACTGCTATACTTTCCTGTCTTAAAAGGCAGAACTCTTCTAGTCTAAAAAAACTCATTTGTTGAAATGGGGGGGGGCTGTTGTTTGAACCCCTTAGGGGCTTTAAAAAACAAAAATGCCTGTCTCTTTTTGCGCTTTATGAAACAAAGTAGCCTATATTTTGTGGATGTACAGCTACATTTCTCATGTAAGTTTGCGTAGTTTTTACACAAACATTCATTTTTCATATTGCACCAGTACAGTTAATGAGCAACCTGTACTTGTGTGCTTGTTTGTTCTGTCTAAAATGTTTATTTTGGAATAAAGAGGTTAATATAATTTTTTTTTTTTGTCCGATTCATCGATTAATCGAAAAAATAATCGGCCGATTCATCGATTTTTAAAATAATCGTTAGTTGCAGCCCTAGTTTCAATTGACCCAGATTTATGCTGCTTATGCTGCTCCCATTCTCCCCAACACTTTCCTGTCTTCTTCCCAAGAACGTACTTGGCGAGGATACAAGTCCGTACTCGCGTTCTTGTTAAATGAGAAACAACCTTCTTCTCATACACTTCGTAGACACTTTTTGTCTTGCGACCCTCTGCCATTTTCAAAGAACCTCGGTGAGAAAGGTTAGCTCCAATGATTGTCTGAAACCATAGCTCACCACAGATATACGCCTGAAAGTGCGCATGTGCAGAAAAAGATAGCTAACAGGACGAGCATGCAGGACAGCCTTACATAAACATATCACCAGAATGATTGACAATTAGGATTATCACTTATTAAAATGATTCACCCGGAAATAAAAGATTGTCCCCAATACCTTTAAGCAAAAACAGGACTTTGCTACACAAAAGCCTGATTAGTAGTCGAGGGAAAACAGTAGCTTCATGATTTTCAATTTTCAAGTAACTGTAAAATGTGATACACCTGTAAATTCCTTTCCCTTTACTCAGACATCCACATGTTCTTAAATATTACATCTACATGAATAGGTATACCACTGATTTATTAGATACAAATCATAAGAAGTGCTAATAAATAGTTAATACCAGCAACCAGGATCTTTATACACATAGTGATATTCTTTACTGAACTTGGGGCTGCTTCCAATTTTCCAGAATTCCAACTTCGTCATTCACTCTTCTTGATTTCATTGGCACATTCTGTCTCTGCATATTTAAAGCTGCTAGAGACATACAACTTGATACTTAAATCTGTAA